CCTTATCATCCTCATCATCGTCGTCGTCATCGTCATCGTCATCGTCGTCATCATCATCACCCTTGCCATCACCAGCATCATCAAAATCCTCATCCGCATCATCATCCTCATCCTCATTATCATGCTAATCCTCGTCCTGGTCTTCCTCCTCCTCCTCATCATAATCATCATCCTCTGCATCACCATCGCCATCACCATCATCATCCTCGTCGTCATCCTCGTCCTCAGCTTCATCATCATCCTCATCCTTATCCTCATCATTACCATCACCATCACCATCACCATCACCATTACCGTCATCATCACCATCCCAATCACCATCATCACCACCATCACCATCATCAGCATCATCATCACCTTTATCACCATCATCATCGTCATCCACATCATAATCATCCTCATCCTCATCATGATCATGATCATCATCATCATCATCGTCATCACCAACACCAGCATCACCATATTCATCCCTATCATCAACATCATCATAATCATCATCATCGTCATTACCATCATCATCACTTCCACCACCGTCATCACCATCATCATTACCGCTTCTTCTTCTTCTTCTTCTTCTTCTCATCATCATCAGTAGCAGCAGCAACATCAGCATCAACATCACCATCCGCATCCTGATCTTCATCCTCATCAGGATCCTCTGTCTCTCTCTACCTCCTTCTCATCATCACCCTCCCTCCTCCTCAGCCTCCTCAGCGCAAGCCCGTGACACGTCGCCAGCAGTCGCTCACCTAAGTATCACTGTACCTGCACGAGGCGGTCCACAGGTAGAGCATCATAGCAAAACTGCCCCAAGGCTGGGGGTGCGAGTGATGCGCTGCTGGGGAAGGAGGAAGAGGTGAGGGGGAGGGGGCGATTGAAAGACCATTGGACCATATGCCATCTCAGAAAGCTGGATCAACCAATATCGAGTCGAGAAACTGAACCGAATCGGAGTGTGCGTCGGATCCGGCTGCATCGGCACGGGGTCGAAATCAAATCGGATCGGCTGCGCCAACATCCGGTCGCGCCGGGTCGTCGGAATAACCGTCGGAATCGAATCGGATAGACCGATTCGAACATGGGCACTGGAAAGGCCCTCCCACCTCGCGCCACCCCCTTCTGAGGACCTCTCCCATGGCGCGTGCTGACCAGGACTCCGAGGCGAATCCAGCCGTGGAGACGAGGGCCCTGCACGAGGCCCTGGAAGGCGAAACCGAAGGACGGGCACCGGTGCCAGTAGGTTCCACACTCCTCCTTGGATTCATACGCCGAATTCGAGAGGTCCTGGGGGCTGGAGCGGACCGCGTGGCCAAAACAGAGGTTAAGGTCCGCACCGGTGTCTATGGAGCTTGTTATTTTTCTGTGGTGTGTGGGGGGGGTGATAAAACAATTTAATTACGCCATCGAGCAATCCAACAAACTTGCCATGTGTCTTGCGTGATGGTAGCTGACGCGAAACTTGCGAGCATCTTGACGGTGGCCCTGCGGCACTGGCGCGTATAGAGACCGCGGTGCGAGACCACCCCATGCGCCCCCGTCGAACGTCGAGAAAATGCCGCGCCTGCTAGGCCCTGCGGCATTGGCGCGTATAGAGACCGCGGTGAGAGACCACCCCCTGCGCACCCCCTCTGGCGTCGAGAAAGTACCACGCCTGCTTGGCCCTGCGACATTGTCGCGTGTAGAGACCGCGGTGAGAGACCACCTCCTGTGCACCCCCTCTGCCGTCGAGAAAGTGCCACGCCTGCTTGGCCCTGCGGAATAGGTGCGTATGGAAACCGCGGTGAGAGACAACCCCCTGCGCACCCGCCCTGGAGTTGGGAAAGTGCCACGCGTGCTAAGCCCTGCGACACTGACGCGTATAGAGCCACCCCCTGCGCACCCCCTCTGGCGTCGAGAAAGTGCCACGCCTGCTAGGCCCTGCGACATTGGCGCGTATAGAGACCGCGGTGAGAGACCACCCCCTGCGCACCCCCTCTGGCGTCGAGAAAGTACCACGCCTGCTAGGCCCTGCGACATTGTCGCGTGTAGAGACCGCGGTGAGAGACCACCTCCTGCGCACCCCCTCTGACGTCGAGAAAGTGCCACGCCTGCTAGGCCCTGCGACATTGGCGCGTATAGAGACCGCGGTGAGAGACAACCCCCTGCGCACCCTCTCTGGCGTTCAGAAAGTGCCACGCCTGCTAGTCCCTGCGACACTGGCGCGGATAGAGACACCTCTGGCGTCGAGAAAGTGCCCGGCCTGCTTGGCCCTGCGGAATTGGCGCGTATAGAGACCGCGGGGAGAGACCCCCCCTGCGCCACCCCTCTGAAGTCGAGAAAGTGCCACGCCTGCAGTTTCTGCGGCATTGGCGCGTATAGAGACCGCGGTGAAAAACCACCCACTGCGCCCCCCCTCTGACGTCGAGAAAGTTCCACGCCTTCTAGGCCTTGCGACTTTGGCGCGTATACAGTCCGCGGTGAAAACCAGCCCTGCGCACCCCCTCTGACGTCGAGAAAGTGCCACGCCTGCTGGGCCCTGCGGCTTTGGCGCGTATAGAGACCGCGGTGAGAAACCACCCCCTGCGCACCCCCTCTGACGTCGAGAAAGTGCCACGCCTGCTAGGCCCTGCGACATTGTCGCGTATAGAGACCGCGGTGAGAGACCACCTCCTGTGCACCCCCTCTGCCGTCGAGAAAGTGCCACGCCTGCTTGGCCCTGCGGAATTGGTGCGTATGGAAACCGCGGTGGGAGACATCCCCCTGCGCACCCGCCCTGGGGTTGGGAAAGTGCCACGCGTGCTAAGCCCTGCGACATTGACGCGTATAGAGCCACCCCCTGCGCACCCCCTCTGGCGTCGAGAAAGTGCCACGCCTGCTAGGCCCTGCGACATTGGCGCGTATAGAGACCGCGGGGAGAGACCACCTCCTGCGCACCCCTCTGGCGTCGAGAAAGTGCCACGCCTTCTAGGCCTTGTGGCATTGGCGCGTATGGAAGCCGCGGTGGGAGACAACCCCCTGCGCCACCCCTCTGAAATCGAGATAGTGCCACGCCTGCTAGTCCCTGCGACATTGAAGTGCCACGTCTGCCACGGCGGATTTTTAAGTGCGAGCGAGACGGACGTAGAAGCAGAAGGGTGGGGAGGAGGACGAGGAAAAGGAGGAGGAGGAGGAGAAGGAGGATGAGGAGGATGAGGATGATGATGAGGAGGAGGAGGATAATAATAATAGTAACACTAAGAAGAATAAATAAAGCAATAGGAATAATACTAATAATAAGAATAATAATACTAAAGAGAAGAATAATAATAGTGATAATAATAAGAATAAGAAGAAGAAGAAAGAACGCGGCCGCGACGCGGCAGGGGAGCAACAATAATTTAAATGGCGCTAGCGCCCGTGACCGGCCCCGCCCCCTCCCACCTCCTGGTCGCGTCATGGTTCGCGCCGGCACCGTCTGGGAATTAACCATTCCTAAGCATTCGCAGCCTGCGCCGGCGCGCATCGCGACGTGACCGGCCCCATCCCTCCACCATCGCCCCCCCCACCCCTGGTCACGCCCCTCGTCCCCGAGGGACGATACCACGGTAGTCTATTATTAGGTCGGGCATGTACCCCTACAGGCAGATTTTGGAGCAAACATAAAAATTAATAACAAAAGTACTCCAAACATGTGCAATAATCATAGAATCATCGTCCCCAGACTATTTTTTGACCAGTTTTGGACACTCCTCCTGTAGAGGGACACGCCCGACTTGATTCTATCACGATCCTCATCGGTGTCTACTGAAGGGGAACTGAGACACACAAATAAATCGACATAAATAACCATATTCCCAATATTTTCTGATATTTTCTGGGTTTCTGTCTCCCCCCCCCCTTCCCAGGTTTTCCCATATTTTCTGGGGGATCGACGATTACCTGTGTCTGCGTGTTCTTCCCCTCCTGACCTGCGTGTATCGCCCTCCCGGGACCGGCGGCGCCCCGCGAGCGAGGGAGCGCGAGCGAGCGTCCAGGCGCGAGAGGCAGCCGGCCGGGCACGACGGGCGGCCGGCACGGCACGGCCGCGGCTGCGGGGAGAGCAGCCTGCCTGCCCGCCGCCGATGGGGCTGCGGGGCGGCAGGGAGCTCCCTGAGGGCCGTGCCACTGCGTTGGTGTCTTGCAGGAGGTGTTCTTGCAGGACGAGGGTAGTGTCTTGCAGGAGTGTTCTTGCAATGTCTCACTGAGGGCCGCGTCGCTACGCTCAAGGAGCGTTCTTGCTGGACGAGAGCCGTGTCACTTCAGTTAGGTCGGGCATGTCCCCATGCAGGCCGATTGTGACGCAAGCTTAAACATACTCCCAACAAAACGGTCAAACATAGTCAAGAATCGTCGAAAAATCGTCCCCCGACTATTTTTGACTATTTCTCAATATTCTTTCTGTAGAGGGACAGGCCCGACTTAACACTACAGGATTGGCTCAGATTGCGTTCCAGGATTTCCAAGGTATCCAGCGGCCCTCGTTTCTGGAGCCCGTGTGGGACAATTGGGAATCACGGGAAACCTGGGAACCGTGGAAACCTGGGACCGTCTCATCATCATGACCTCGTGCTCCTCTAATTCTTGGGGCAACAGCGGCGCGGTGACGGACCGTGCGGCGACGTCGAGCTCCCGAGGGGCATGGCCGCACGGCCCGTCACCGATCGGTGTTGGGACCTCGGAGGCCCCAAACGCCCGCGACGCCTCCTGAGAACGAACCGGGCCCCAGGGCCGTGCGGCCGCCCCGAACTGTGCTGCCTGTGCTTGGACGCCCGAGTTATCCGGGGTAACTCGGGTCCGGGGTATCTCGGGTTTGGGTTCCCGAAAAACGAACCCGAGTTATCCCTGACCCGAATTACCCCGGATGATTCGGGGCTCTGATGTGCTGCCTCCAGCGAGGCGGCGCGGCCGCCGAGGCCGCGCGGCCGCAGAGCGCGGCGGGCGCGGCTGCAGCCGCGGCCGCAGCCCGGCGGCGAGCCCGCCGGGGCCCCGCCGCGCTCCCGCCGGGCGCTCGCTCTCCGTCGGCGGGAGGGGCGGGCGGCGGCCCGGGGCCCAAGGGGGCCTCGCGCGGCGCGGGCGGCGGCCGCTCTGCCGCTGCGCGCCGGCGGCCTGCCGCTGGGAGGCCAGGCGACGACGCGGAGAGCGGGCTTCGGGAGGCGGGGGCCGCCCAGGCTGGGCCAGAGCAGGGGGGGGGCCGCGTTTTGACGTCCTCGCGTCGTGGGGAAGCCACGACGGGCAGGGTTTGCCGCTGGGCGGCGGCCTCCTGGGCCGGCACACGGCTCAGGATGACAAGCTGGCACCCGAGAAAGGGTCTGGACCTCTACGGGGCCACGTGGACAAAAATCACGACGTCGGATGTCTGGGGTCGGATGCTCCGAGGGTCGCGCTGCATCGCCGATGCATCGGCGATCCTTCAGCGACGACGAAATGGAGAGGTCGTGCTCCAGATCACGTTGCAGCGCCGGTGCACCGGCGATACGGCCCGCTCCTCTGCGCCCACCCGCTCCAGCCCCACGTGGCCGGTTCCCGAACACCTGAATCCAGACATGTTGAGGTCTCAGCCTTGCGTCCGCCGTTCTCCGCGGGCCTTCCGCGGCCCCTCCACCGGCGGGCCCGACGGCTGGCTCCCCAAGAGGGCGCGGCGCGCCGCAGGCGCGGCCCCTGTCTGAAGCGCGCCACGTGGGCGGCCCGGTGGCGGTCCGCGCAGAGTCCCGGGGTCGGCGCCGGGCCTCCCTGCCCGCACCCCGTCCCCACGGCCCCCTGGCGTCTTCCGCCCCCGGGCCCAGTGCCGACCCACGACGTGCGCACGGACCTCCGAGAGTCTACAGCCGGCGTGCTGCCAATATGTGTGCCAGATAATAAGCGGCGAGCGACGGGGGGAAATGGGAAGGGGCAGGCCTTCTCAGAAGGCTCGGAAGTCCCCGGACCTTCTGAGCAGTTTTCGAAGCCTTCCCCGAAGACACACAACCTTCTCAGAAGGCGCGAGGGCCTCTGAGAAGTCCCGCCGCCTTCCGAGAAGGCCTTCCCCATCTCACTTCCCCCCCCCTCGCTCGCCGCCGAGACAAGGAGCGGAGGGCCTTGCCTGGCCACGGCGAGGCTCGGCCACGAACGGGTCCCCAGAAGAGGATCAGCTGAGCGGCCGCGCACCAGCGGACCAGAGCCCCGCCATGACGGCGCCAAGGCCCGGTAAGGGCCCCCAGAGGCCAACCATGCCCAAATCTCCCGTCGTGATTTTCCCACGACGCGAGACAGTCAGAACATTTCCGCGTCTCGGCTCTGTGCTCGCGCCGCTTTTTGGTCCTCGGTCCTCGCTCAGGCGGGGCTGGGCCGCGAGACGAAGGCGTGGGCCCTCGCCTTTCTAGAGGTCGGCCGCGCCGCGGGGTTCATGGTCAGCAGGGAGCGGACCTTGGCCGCGAGGGGAGGAGGAGGAGGAATCGGAGGAATCGGAGGAAGAGGAGGAGGAGGAGGAGGAGGAGGAGGAGGATCTGGGAGGCCAGAGTGTCTCTTTTCCGAGACCATCCGGGCCTGCCTCAGGCGGGCAATTTCTTCAGAACGCCGGGTTCAATTTGAACTCTTCAGTCGCTCATACTGCCGCGATTGTGTTCAGGACCACTCCCAATCCAGAGAAGTCTTGGCATAGGCGAGCTCGCCTAAACCGTGCGAGAATTCGCCTCCTACTACGCGCTATTGAAAGCAGATCACTACTCAGGTCACATCATGTCACGATGTTCGGAGGTGCCGAGACACACAATCTTGGAGGTGCTGGACCCCACGGCCCAAACTATGGTGCACGCGGTGCTGGTCCAGGGGTACAATGGGACTGTCTACAGTGCGGGAGGTACGTCAAGGGCCATCATTGGAGGTGCTAGTGTGGACAGACGTTCGGGAAGAACGAGAATGAAAAACCTCGACAAGGAGCTCACTATGTCAGAGACGGTCAAGGCGTACGACGTCTCACGATCAACGGTAGGGCCCCCAGCAGATCGAGGACATACCCTAGAAGCAAAAAAAAGAGAGTTGTTTAAACAATACAACGACAAGATCAGTGTCGCCACCCGTGCTGACGCCGAGACGCATCCTACGCTGAGTCAGGAGTTACACCACCCATCCAACACCCCTGACATCAAGGCCTGCAAAGAGCGTATTCGTCAGAGACTGTATGGGTTGGGCAAACAGGCTCTTGCTACCAGGACCTTGTCAAAAGCACGGTGGATACCGACTTTGATATTTCGGTATTGAAGTGCATGCTAGCCAACACGGAGTCCACGAACAAGCAGCTCAGCGAGTTGAAAATCAAGAAAGACAATATTCAAGAAAGGGCCAAACAATTACATGCAAAAATATGGAATGCTCAGGAGGAGCCGGTTCAGGTCGACAGAGGGTTAGAACAAGTTAGGTCAGCCATTGTTGAACTGGAACATGAAAATTCCGATGAAGACATGGAGGTGTGCGCAGATACTGCTGGCAGTAGCTCGGGAACAGTTCCCAATAGAGCTCAGCCAGTCCAGCATGAGATCCACACCCCGAGGAACTCTGATTCGGAGAAGGAGCGGTAGGCGCATGGCAGACGCCCGACAATACCCGGCAGGTGGGCACCCTGCAGATGGTGCAACAGCACAATCTCGACAACCAGCATGACCAGCGCAGCAAGGATCTGTTCCTCCACCCCCACTTGGTGACATCCCAACGGCACAACAGGGCAGCATATTACAGCTCACGCAGGGGATGATGAATAAGCAACAGGAGACCGACGCAGCATTCTGTGACAACATGTCAGGGGACTGGGCGCTACAAGGGGCACAGTGGTTACGGGTGTGACGTCTTCCCGTGCAGGTTCATCGAACACAGGTTATGGAGTAGATGCTCCGGGGGCAGCTGGGGCGCCAGTTTTTACAGCGGGGGCTCCTTCGGAGGCAGACCCCAACAGAGCTGGAGCCTCCATTGCGCCAAAGACACCCCAATGCCGCCCCGGAGCTTTCTCGCCGTCCTCAATACCAGCGGCCCAGATGTCGCCTCTGTTCCAACATCCGACGCCAGAACCAGCGGTGAGTCCGACACCAGTGGCAGCGACGCCAGCCCCAGCATCACCGACAGTGGTAATTGTGGACGACAATGGCGCTACGCAGGTTGCATGCCAACATCCAATTTCTCAGACGCAGCCCATGTGTCACGAGATGCAAGAGGACCCGCTAATGGAGGTACCCAAGGAGTCGGTGACGTGCCCAGGCTGTGCCAGCGCCAGCGGGGCCACTGTTGCCAGGCCCGTGTCGGAGAGCCCTCTCACGGCATCACAGGTGAGGGCCAGAGTCGACGAAATAGACAAGGCATGTGCAGAGAAGGACCTCGACACGGCAAGCCCTCCACGCAAGGAGGCCCGTCTCGAGCAGTGGATAATTTTCGACGTGCAGTGAATTGGGGCGGCCAGCAGCTTACTTATTTGAGCATGATGGGGTGAGGTCCTCGCCCCCACCTCCATCCTCTTCTCGTCATGAGATCTCAGGCCCCCTAAGATCCATCCTCAAGGCTCCTCCTCTCTCTTTGAGTCCTGGCACGTCATGCGTTTTACGGCATGTGTTGTCTGCCGAAACCACGCCAATCGGCGCACCCACTCAATCGCTGGAGGTTAGCAGCAACAGTGAAGCTAGTGTTGCAGCAGGGTTGGTCAATCACAATGGCTCCGCCTCACCCGCCCCTCAGCGCTCGGTGAGAGAAACTCGTCCCAGGATCACCTTTACCGTTCAAGAGTTTTCCATGTTTGCCAACTCACCAGCGCTATCTTTTTTAGCCGATGTCTCACTAGGATGCTGCTGCCCGGGGCCTGTAGCAGCCAGCGTCATGCTTGCTTTAACCTTGCTGTGGCGAATCGCACTCCCCTAATGTGTTGATATGAATTACGTTTGGGACGGGATGGATTCATGTTGGAGGGGGCGGGTGGGATCTCAGCTGCAGTATTTCGGGCGGAGCTTGCTACTCATGCATTGGCCCTCAAGCTGTCCGCACAGCTGCGTACAGTGACTTGAGTACCAATCAATGGTCGCTCGACCCTCACTACCCTGGCGCTTCGTTGGGTCCTGGGACCGCGGCCTCCTTAGCGCCTGCAGGTTGCCGTTTTCTTGGCTCCTGCTCGAATACTCAGGGCACGAGTGATGACTACGCTTGGAACCTTCCAATGCTTGAGCTCAGTGGTGGCAGCGCGCCATGGGAGCATCAGGGGATTTCTGAATTTTGCACAGAGATACTCTACTACGACGGGAAGTGCGAAAAAGAAGCATCCATGACCTGCTTTAGCCTGCTCACCTCTACCCAGACTCTTGAATGGCAGTCTCTTCTCGGACTACACGCCTCCCTCCTACTCCCGCAGGTGAAGCACTCTCGAATTAGCATGTGCTACGCTGACCGTTACAGTCTTGCCAAGGCGTGTTGCATACCAAGTTTTGCAGTTCGACCGCATTGGGGCGGATCCATCTCATTGGGCAGGAGCGGGGGTGGAAGAGGGGGGAACCCATCCACGGATCCTGGGAGCTCCTCTTCAGTGGGTAACCACTCGAATCGCAGCGCCCAGACCAGCAGGAGTGCGAGGACAGCTGGGATTGCCTCGGCAGCGTTAGCTGTCAGGTTTATCCTTTTCCCACATGTCTCCTGCTTCCTCCTCAACTTACCCTCGTGCATCCCTCTCACCTCTCGACGCAGGCCTCCTTTTGTGCAACGTTCCTCTGTGTGAGGCAGAAGTTTGCGCCTGCGTTCCACCACCAGGGATAGGTGGCTCCTTGCGTTCCCCCTCCTGTGCGGCGCCACTGAGCAGCAGTCCACGCGCTATCTCCCTCCCTGCCATCCTTCCACTTGGTGAAGTTGATTTCGGGATTGAGTCGAGCAGCGCACCTGGAGGGGTCAATGGAGCCCAGCAAGAAGTTGCCCAGCGTGCCCCCTACGAGGTCTCCCCCCCTCTGAGCCCCAATGCTGTGCCCTTCCGGCCTCACTTGGTTCGTAGGGGCCCCGACCTAGAGGTGCGACTTCCCTTGCATGAGCTCCGCGAGGTGTGCCGCGTTGCTCTCGAGGCTGCTCCACGTTCGTCCGTGGAGCCCTGCGCTCTGCATCTTTTCGCGGATGGCTCGGTTAAGCCTGCTTCTGCATCAGAGGCGTCTTGGGCTTTAGTTGCCATTGGGGAAGTACCTTGTGAGCCGCCATTCTCTTTCAGAGGCCGGTGGGCCTCGGACCTTAGCAACTCCTGCAGGACTGCCGCGACGCAGGACATCGCCTCCAGCACGGAGAGCGAATTTGTCGGTATACTGTGGGCAGGGATATACTTACTTTATGACGACACGATAGTCCCCGCCTTTGTTCAGACCGACTCAATAAACGTTTCCAAAACCATTTCTGGCATATCCACCCCCGCGCCTCTGGACACCATAGGCCGATTCGCATGCTCCCTTTGGAATGTTTTTTCGAACCCACCGACAAGTTTGCATCCCTCACGTAAAAGGCCATGCTGGCCACCCTTGGAACAATGTGGCTGACTGGATTGCACGAGCCGTGCTCACTGAGCGGATGGGATTTCCCCTGCCCATTTCCCTCCTTACTTTCTGCAGCACGCTGCTTTTCACAAAGGCATGGTATGGGAATGGCTCGCCGTGTCGTCGGCTGATGTTCGGGGTGCTTTTCCCGTTCAGCTGGGCGGATTGGGTTTTCACGCGCCTAGCTGTGCAGCGGACATTGACACCATGGTTTCGGTCATCACTCCTCCCCCCCGCCCGCTCCACGCTCTCCAACCAGTCAAGTTGAGAGCAGCACAGTGCAATGCTAGGACTGCCCATGCGGCTCTTACTTTTCGCAAGGCAGGCGAGCAGAGAAGAGCTCGAGCGAAACTACTTCGTATGCAGATGGTTGAGGAAACTGCACACGTTGTTTGAGGCTCGTGCTAAGTTTCAGCATATGATCAAGGATGCTCCCCCAATCCCTTGGGGCACAGAGCTGTACGCTCACTGCTGTGACATTGCTCAGGTAATTTCATAGGCTGCGCAGGAGTGCTCTGGGCTAAAGAGAAGGCTGCCTAATAAGCCACACATTTCACCTGCTTGCATGGCCATGGTTCAGTGGAGAAGAGGGGTTCAGCGTGCTTTAAGGAAATGGTTCCATGGCTCCCCGTGCTCTGATGTTTCAGATAGCAGGCATATCGCATCCCTTTCAAGATTTGCTGGCCGTGTTCTTCATGGGGACCTCAGCTGCATTTGCTTGGGTGGTGTCCCCCCTCTACTGTAGATATGTTTCGCTGGTGCGTTTCGCTTCTCAGTTGCATGTGGCCAGCTCCCTTTCCAGTCCTGACTACGCTGTCAGTCTGGCGCGCTTCCTTGCCCATTCTTCCGAAGCCCTCAGGATTCACCTTGAGGCCTCTCGCACTGCTCTTGAAA